GCGCCCGGCCTTCACCTACTTCTTGAACCTGTTTCTGGTTAAGCGCTGCCTCCAGGCCCCGTGTGCACTGCCCGTGTTCTCTCTCACTCAGGGGTGAACAGGCCCAGCCCAGCCTGGCCCTCGTGGGATCCACAAGCAGTCGGGAAGAGAGAAACACACAAAAAGTTATAAAAGCAAGTGGAGGAGATGGGAAGTTGGTGTTTAGTGGGCACAGAGCTTCCGCTCGGAGGAAGAAGAGTTCTGGAGGCGGGTGAGTGGTGGAGGTGGTCGTACGGCGCTGTGAACGAGTGCACACTTAAAAGTGGTTTAAGCAGTGGGTTTTACGTCATGCATATTTTATCGCACACACACAGCAGACGGAAGGGCAGGGGCCAGAGCATGCCGGACACCGACGGGCTCCTGCCCAGGACCCAGCGCTCCATCCTCGGGCCATGTGCTCCCAGGTCTCCCCAGGAGGGAGAACCCTCACGCTGCTGTGGCCATTCCACACCTTGTCCTGTCAGGGGGCCGCAGGGGCAGCCTAGCCCTGTCCCCGGGGCCTGTCAAGGACCCCGTCCCGGGCCGGGGATCTGGGGATAGACTCTGGCAGCTGCCTGTCCCGACGGCCGGGGCCGGCTGCATGATGTATGAGGCCCCGCGCAAAATGAAAACAAAGGGCCCTTGTTCAAAAAGTATTAAGAATCTCAAGACGGCAGAGCATTAAACCAAGTGCTGGGCCTTTCTGAGTGCAGGCCCTGTGCCACTGTCCAGGTCACATGGACATGAAGGGGACCCAGATGAGGACAGCTCCCGGCCAAGTGCTGGGAGGGAAGATGGCAGAGGGAGGGAGAGTGGGAGACGGAGAGAGAATATTTTTTGAAATTTTTCTTTAAAGTACAACATATAGAAAAGTGCACCAATCGTAAGTATACAGCCTGACGAATTTCCACAAAGGGAACACACCCGTGTAACTGGCACCCAGATCAGGAAAGAGAACATTCCTGGGGCCCCAGAGGCCCCCTTGGTCCCCTCATGACAGCCACCACCCTGACGGCCGCCAACGCAGATGGCGTTTGCCTGTGTCTGGGCTGCAGGCAGGCGGGAATCCGACGCGAGCTTTCCTGTACGTCTGTGTGTTTTCACTCCGTGTTTGTGAGACGCAGTCACACCGCCGTGTGTCGCTGGAGTTTTGCTTCTCAGACGGACAACACCAAGTGTCAGAGCGTACAAGGCAACCGGAAAAATGGTACGACTACTTTGAAAAATTGGGCGGCGCTCTGCTAATGCCGAAGAGACCCCTTCCCCGACCCGGCGATCGCCCTCGTAGTCGTGTGCACAGCAGAAAGGCAAACACACGTTCTGCTCACACGACGCTTACGCGTGTTTATATCCGCGCTATTTGTAACGGGCAAACACTCAAAAACTTAAAACTCCTCAAATGCCCACTAACAGGAAGATGAATGACAAGTGGCACATTCACAAAATGGTGAGAATTTTTTTCCCTGAGAGTCTGCGTATTTGTTTAGAAAGACTCTTTGCCCCTGTGCGGCCTGGGTACACAGCACGGGACACAGAAGGCAGCCTTGGTCTGGAGTGAAAGCGAAGGCATCGAGTGGAGAGGGGCCAAGAGAAGGCCCCCGGCCCGGGAGTGCTGGGTGTGGCCGTTCTGAGGGACAAATCGGAGAGAGGAATTTTCCCCAGGGACACTCACAGCCCTCTGCGTGTGGATCCCTGCGTCCCAGAAACCTGCCCCCGTCCTGGCAAAGCCATTTACACAGGGAAATCCCGGAGCAAAGAGCAGGCTGGCGCCGGCCAACTCGCCCTCCCCACAGGGCCCCCCTCTGCCTGGCACCTGCCAGCCCCCACCGGGGTTTTGGGGATCCCACCCACAGAGCCTCCTGGCGCTTCCTCCTCCCCCAGTGAGTGGTATCGGAAAGACTGTGACTTCACCCTCTGCCAATCCCTGTCAGGACCGAGGACCAAAGTCCCTGGCCTGAAAGCAGTCTCAGAATATGCTTTCGGTTGCTGTTTAAAAGGACTGATTCCAGTCTTGAGCCCGAAGTGCTCCACGGGTCTCAATTCCCCTCCAGGCTGCCCGACCTCGTGACTCTTCCTGTCCCTCCAATGGCTTCCAGTGGCCCCCAGAATCTCCCCTCTCTCAGTTGTTCCTGGGTCCCCGCTGCAAGTGGGCAGCTCAGGTGACCTTCCTGATGGCTTTGACCTTGGACAGAACTGCACGGCAGCCCCGGCTGCTCCCTGCAGTGGGCGCCCTCACGGCGACAGTGGTAACAATATCCATTTGCAACATGGCCCACGCTAGGAACTTCCACAATGCATTGTCTATGTTCACTCCCACAGTGATGTTTATAAAGAAGATACTGTTACCTGACAGATCAGGAAATTGAGGCTCAAAATGATGAAATAAAATGCTTAAATGATACTGCTAGTAAATGGCAGACTAAAACCTGCCAGTCAGTCTCCAAACCATGACACAGGGGAACATCTTGTGTTTGGTACAACGTTTAGCAGCATCCCTGACCTCTACTCACTAGATGACAGTAGTAGCCCTCCCACTAGAGAAAACCAAATGTCCCCTGGAGCACAAAGTCACCCACAGTTGAGAATGATTGCTTAAGCAATAACAACTTGTAATGATGTCATAATTTGGAGTCCCCGCAGGTAGGCAGTTGCAGGCTTGGTGCGGCAGCTCGGCGGTGCCACCAAGAACCAGTCTGTCCAGATGCTCACCACCTCACAACCATAAGACGGCTGCCACAGATCCCACGGTGCCACCATCGCAATCCCATTCAAGGGCAGGCAAGGGGGAAAAGTGATGTGGCATTTGTGGCATCACCTTTAATCTGAGAAGTTTTACCAGACTTTGTTCAGCAGATCTCCCCTACATGTCATTGGCCAACACTGAGCTATCTGTCCAGTCCTAGCTGCAAGAGAGCTGGGAACATGACCAGGTGGCACGGAGAGGAGGGCTGGGAATAGAGGAGCCTTCCTCAAACACGGCAGAGCGGACACTCTTCATACGTGCAGAATTATTCCATCTGTCTGCTTTTCTCACTAGTCCGTGAGCAGCTTCAGGACAGGGATCCTCCTGTTTTCGTCTGTATCCTCAGAACTTAGCCTTGTGCTCAGCACTCAGAAGGAGCTCAACCTGGCCGGGCACGGCGGCTCACGCCTGTAATCCTAGCACTCTGGGAGGCCGAGGTGGGAGGATTGCTTGAGCTCAGGAGTTCCAGACCAGCCTGAGCAAGAGTGAGACCCTGTCTCTACTAAAAATAGAAAGAAATTAGCCAGGTGCAGTGATGTGTGCCTGTAGTCCCAGCCACTTGGGAGGCTAAGGCAGGAGGACCGCTTGAGCCCAGGAGATTGAGGTTGCTGTGAGCTAGGCTGATGCCACTGCACTCTAGCCTGGGCGACAGAGTGAGACTCTGTCTCAAAAAAAAAGGAAGGTG